TAAACAACTCCTTCCCCAAATTGGGTCTTATTAAACATTCTCAGGCAACATGGCAGGTGCTGCACTGGGTTTCTTCAACTGTAGCCTGCCAAGAAGGAGTTACTTTTGGAGTAAAACTCCATACTGTTTTTGTAGTTTACAATAGCTGTGAACTTTTCTTGGGGCTTGTGCTGCTGGCCAGGTCTGTTATTTCTCCCAGAGCATCCGATTCTCCTGAGCTTACTTTCTCTCCTAGGGCACTGGCCTCATCTACAATCAAGTTATTTTGGTTGGTTAGTGCCTCCGTTGTCTGATAACAAGGGGAAACAAAACACAAGAGCAGGACTGAAGGTAGGAGGATCGAATTCGAGGCAAGCCCGGGCTACATAATAAGATTAAGGCCAGCCTGAACTACATAGTGAGACCCTGTCTCAAAGTAACAAAACAAAAATAAAAAATTCTAACACAGAGAAGGTACCAAATAAATATTTGTTGACTAAGTTAAATGTTATTAAAATTATGACTAATATAACCTCCATAAGGATATTGAATAAGAGGTTACACATCTTTAAATCCTTATGTCATTCTAAAGCTTTTATGGAGAAAAAAATCACCTCTAGGGAAAACACAGTATACCCAAGATACACAACTGTTGATTTAAAAACCAACAACCAACTACTTTCTGTCTTGCTATACTTATGGCCAACATGGTCAGATTATGTATGTGGTGATTCATAATAGGGTCATGAAATGAGCTTTCAATTGCTAAGAGTTATTATTCCTGTATATCTTCTTTATCAGTTCATAATATCTATCAGAACACACTTGCCCAGTTAAATGAGGAGGCAAACTGTTGCCCCACCTCTTTAGCCCTCAACTGCTGTCTTCTAGCACATTCTTCTCACAGTAAAGCACACTGAGTACTTTCTCAGTTTCTCCCATCCCTACTATTAGTTTATCTAGCCTCTCTCGTATTACTACTCAAGTTTCTTGAGTCACTAAAATCATCTCTACTTCATCACTTCCCCATATTCTTCAATGTGCACTCTGATTTGCCCTTCACCCTTCATCAAAACTAGTCTCCCCAAGGCCCTTCAAGAGCTACATCCACATAGTGTTTTGCAACCTTCTGGTTTATGGTCTTGGCTGCCCTGTGCAACACAGTGACCACCAGCCACATGCAGCTACTGAGCACATCAATGCAACAAGTATGGTGGAAGAGCTGAATCTTTAGTTTCATTTAATTAAATTTAAAAACTGATACTCAAGGGCTGGGGATTTAGCTCAGTGGTTCACAACCACAAGGTCCCAAGTTTGATCCCCAGTACCAAAAAACAAAACAAAACAAAGAAACCTGACACTTGATTTGGTTATAAGCTTTTTGGAACAATTTGGGTGGGTGAATCTACCTTTTCAATCATAAATTTTCAGAAATCTAAACACAAATAAAGAATTTCTAATGAAAATTTAGTGTCTGGATTAAGGTGTGATGATGTAGGTATAAATGTAACATGCATAGTAGATTTCAAAGACATGGCATGAAAAAAGATTATAAAATAATCTCAATATTTTTTATTGTTTTCAGTTGAAATGATGAGATTTTGTATCTATTAGGTTTAATAAAATCTTTTTTTAAAGCAGTTACTGAAAATTTTATTTATGGAGTATGTATTTTATTTCTATTGGACAGTGCTGGCCTATAGCATTAGATATGAACAGTCGCTCATCCTTCATGAAGTACTACTGGTTTTTTCTCACCTCTTGGACTTGTCCTTTTATTCTGCAGCCTAATCCCTTCTACTTCCTCCTTAATGACACCCAAGGCTCTCTCTAGTCCCTTCTCCTCTTTGGCTTCCACTACTAGATCTCCATTGAATGCCCACTCTCAACCTTCTATCAGCATATCAGCTCACTCTCTTGAGAATAGTACATTCAGTGACTCTCTGAATAGCTCCTCCTATACCTAAGTACATCTGCACTTAATCTGCCCATTATGTCCTTTGGATATTTGTCTTATTTAATAAAATATCTTATAAATCTGGCCTCTCTTCTCCATGTCATTTAGGTCCTTATGATTTCTCACCTTTATTGCACTAGCTTCCAAAGTACTACCATTTCTCTCTTCCAAATCAATGTCCTTTTACTGTTAGTTTCTAAAACTCCTAAGATTTTTTCTGTTTAAATACTTCGGTGGTTTCTCCTACCGCTTTTAAGATAAAATAAAAAGTGTTATAATCATACATAAGGTTTGGGGTATGCCTGTCTCTCTGGCTTCATGCTTCATCCCCAACTCCGAAAGGGCTCTAGCTTAGGCATCTCTAAGCACTTGCAGTTTCCTGAATACAGTGTTTGCTTTCTTACCACTATGCTTTGTATACTCTCTCTGCTGATAGGAATATTTTCCCTAACTCTATCCTTGCTCTCCTAGCTAGCCCTCAGAACTCAGCTAGTATGTCACCTTCCCTAGGAAACATCTCCATGTCTGAGTGAGTGTCACTTTGTGTCACAATCACACCTACACACCTCTCCCAGCAACCCAGCCACACGGTTCTCATGTGATCTGATTACAGTCTATAAATTCCCAAGAAGTAGGAATTAGGTGTTTCAATTTTACCTTCCTGTGTTACTTTTAAGTGCCTATTAATAAGTAAACACAATATTAAACAAGAGAAAACCACAGAGCAAAATATGAGGCTAAAAATTTAAAAATAGGTTGATAAAGTCATGAGCGAAATGGAGAAAATTAACCAAACGGTCCAAACAACACTGAATTAGATGAACTATTTTGGGACTTAACAAACTAATACAAAATTATATGCCAAATAGTCCTTAAATGTTAAATACTCAATAAAAGCAACAATTAAAAACAACAATTAAAAAGTTAAAGATAAATTTATTATTCTATTTCTACAGCCTTGTTTGTACATGCTCCTTTTTCTCTAATCCTATTTATCAATTCCTTTCTTTAGCTCTTTACATGCATTTTCCTTCAAATTAAATTTTATGTTCTTTCCTTCCATTACTAAATTCATTTTACTTTTTGTGTCCCTTCCATTCTTTCAATCTAACAAAAAAATCCAAATACGTGTTTGTCATCTCTGTTAGCAGTTTTGTTTAAAACAAAGGAATCAATTCCTTGTTAGGAAACATAGCAATGTAGCTTACTATCTTAGCATATGAAGAAAAAAAATAAAATGTTATGTAGTGCCTTGTTTTGCTTTTAAAGGCAGCACCTGGAGTCAGTAAGGTAAAGATGAATTACTCTGAAAATGGTATTGAGACAATAGCGTAGCCTGCTTGTGAGGTGTGGGGGCTTAAAGTAAATCCATTTAATGGTGTAAAATAGTAAGTTCATAAAAGTGCTTGAGTACATATTTTTAAGTAATTTCAGAATCTTAGACAAAAATTATATTATTTCATAAAAATGAAGATTTACTACATGGCTTAAAATGCTCTTAGCAAGGTCAAATGATAAACCATTCAGAGAAAAAACTGATCATAGATTGCTAATTTTCCTAATGTCAAATGAGTTCCTGAATACCACAGAAAACTGAAATGCAGATCCTTTGACACCTGAGTCCCTGACATTATGGAGAGCCTTATCAGTCAAGACTAATTGGAACTTTATTGAGAAATAAACTTATCTTGTTTCAGACAAAATAAATAAATAAGTAAATAAGTAAATAAATAAATTAAAACAAAGGAATCATAAAATGCAGAAATGCAATGATACCACCAGTCAGACTGATAGACACAACTGTGAGCAGAAGCTGGGTCACTGATGTAATTCTAAGCAACTAATCAGAACCACGTGTGTACTAAATGGAGCTTGACAGGCATCAGGAAGTCTTGAGTGGTGGTAGCAGGACAGTGGGGTAACAGAAAAGAACAGATAGCATTCTGGAGGCAGGCAGAAACAGCCCAGCCTTACCACATTCTCCATGTCCCCTTCTAGAGGAAGCAGAAACAGACGGGGGGAATGCAGGCAGCTGTCAGCTATGGACTCATACCACAGATAAGGATTAGACAATGTGAGCAGCAGTGGTCAAGTGGCACCATGTCAGGAGCAATTCTACATAATTTTGGGGAAAAATTACTTCACAATTGAACTTATGATTAGGACTAGTTTTCCTGCCTACAGGCCAGGTATGGCATGTTGAGACAACTCCATTTTCATCTCCGGTCACAGCTAAAACCCCAGTGGTCCAGTGATGCTGTGATGCTCCAGGGCAGGATTATACCAGCTGAAGACATCCTGGGAAGGAACACATAGTTCCTCAATGTTCTAGGATTATCATCTGGCTGCACTCTGAGTCTGTTACATTTGTTACTCCTGATGGAAGTGCCAAATAAAGGTGTGGCAAGCTTGGGGTCTTTCATCTTTGCTGCCCAGAGTAGCACTGATCAGGCCCAAAGCTCAGTTTCTTCTCTAAATCTCATTTTTCTTTTTTTCCTGTTTAATTAATTAATTCACCTTGTGCTATTGTGGCTCAAAGGAGACTAGGACTTACTGCAGAGGTTCCAGTAATGCCCCCTTTCCTTGTTCTCTACAGCACCAAGTACAAATCTGTGTGCACACTGGCACAGGTATCAACTTCAGGATACATAAGGAAGACCACTACTCTCTGGGTACTTCTGAATTTTAGATTCGGTACAGATTAGATTCTGAGAGAGGCAGAGAATACTTGGAGAGGAATTATATAAGGATTTTAACAAAGCTGGTAGGGAGTGATTGTTTTTCAAAGTACAGCAACTGTTAGAAAGAAATGGAGTACATACTTTTAATTATCAGAAAGTGACCTTTTAAAACCGCTCAACATCAGGTCTTAGTTATGGCAAAGTTCACACTAAGGAGCAGTATCATTTGGAATTCATACTCAAGCAAAACTGCAATTTCTTGGACAACTTTACACCCTGAAAAGTTTTTAAAATATCATAGAAATGGACAAAAAAAGAGAAAAGGCAGTAACTTTAAATAATCAATTTAATTGAAAGCAGTGCAGAGCAAGATTTACTCTTACCCATATCCAGGAGTTAAGTTTTGAGTCTCCAGAATTCTGTGGTTCTTTGTTAATCAGGCAACATAAGCACCATATCAGAAATTTTTGGCTTTCATCTGTAAAAGGAAAACTAAAATGTGTCAGTTTTATCAAACAGAAAAAAAAGCAGATAATCTGTATAAAACTTTTAAAACATATTTAAGAAAAAAAAAATCTCAAACTACCAAGTTCACAGAACAAGTATGCAGGACCATGTGTGAAACTCTGTGGGTTTTTTCTTCTTGTGGGTTTGGGATCATTTACACTCAGCCCTTGTGTGGCCAATTCCTTTTTTGTAACAGAAGCAGTTTTTAAACCCAAAGGAGAATGATGGAAAGAAATGAAAGAACTGGATTTTTTCAAGATGAAATTTTTTATTTCACAGTTCAAACCATTAGTAATTTCAATCTTTTTAAGACAATATAACTGCTACAGACATGTCAGTAGTCAATATTTTCAATTTAATCTTTCAATTTTCTAATTTGTCTAAATATCCTTGCTTGTCAAAAACAAATTTAACAAAAAAGGATTGTCTAAAATATAACTATGCTTAGTACCTAAAAATATAAATAAAATAGAAGCCTTTTACATGCTCATAAAATTTAAAACTTAAATCCATGATGAAAATGCTGGACATTTGGTGGGAACAGCTACTTGATGAGTCACTTTCTTTTCCTATTTGTGATGACTGAACCCATTCCATGTGGAGATTTTGTAACATAAGTTAAAACAAAACTTAGGCCTAAAAACTGAAGATATCAGTATGTGACATGGAACAAAGCAGCTTGGGATGTCAGAACAAAGCCACTGAGGTGAGGCTCAGCCACCCAGCACCTGGAGTGAGGTTCTGTAGACTCATGTGACACACTAACTCCCTCTTTCTATAATATAATAAATAGTGATTCCAAAGGCTTTCTTAACATTGAGGACAATATAAACTATAGTAAGCTACCACTGTATTCTCACCTACAAAGCAAAGCACACAGTAAGTTTTAAAACCATTTCCTTCCATCAGCAACTATAAGCTTATGTTTTGCTAATAACAAATATCTCTGAACAAACATATCAGCTTAGCTCTATGTTTTAATAAACTTTTGATTATCATGTATCAGAGGTGTGAAACCAGTTTTGAGTCATGAGCATGAGTTTTTCAAACAGCATAGTGAATATAGATTGCACATAAAAATAAGTATTCATGAATGTGTTTAATCATGGGGGTGTATAAGTGTATGTGTATATATCCTTATGTGTAGGAATAAACATCCACACATACACGTGTATTTCTGGGCAAAGATGTTTAAGAAACACTGGCTTAGCTGGGATATATAAACTTACGACAGCTAAGGGTGGCCCTGGTGGGCAAATAGGGATGGCTCACTCATTTTGTCATTTTAGATCAAGACCTTGAACAAGGTGAGGGACAAGGGAAGACGGGGCATAGCTGGGGTCAGGGACAGATGAAGGTAGGGAGAAGTAAGTGATCCCAATTGTGCAGTGCACCCAGACAAATGTGCTCATAGGCCTAAATGCGAGTGTTTTCCCTTTCCTACCTAGATCAGGGCTCTTATGACAGACTAGGAAAGGGAAATTTTGTAACTCTTTAAAAAAATCAAAAGGGAATATTCATTTTATTATGGTTCCAATGTCATTAATTATCCAAATAATCTTTCACTTTATAAAGAATTTGGAAAGTAAATGTTACTTTAGCTAATTATACAATCAATCCAAGGCCTGACAGCTCAACTGTGCTCCTCCACAAGTGCCTGTGCCAACTTGTGACAGGGTCCAGAATGACAGAGAACAAAAGCCATAGCTCCTGCTCTCTAGAGGCTTTAGTCTTCCTGGGCATCAGACCATGGAATAGGTACTGTACTATAATAAAGAGAGATTCTGGAGGCTGTGGAGCTACTAGGAGAGATCCCTAACTTAGCCCTAGGAAGACCTTACATTACAAAAGGAGAACAGAGGGAAAAGGAATAGATCTCAGGAGTCCAGGCTTTGACAGCGAGTGCTTTTAGGCACCATCAGAAACAAGAACCAATTGCAATGCATGTGGTGTGGTTATGGGGGAAAAAAAAGGAAATGAAGCTGGACAAGTAGGCAGAGTAAGTCAATGAAGGAATATCTCCCCAAAGTGTTCTCCAATTCTCTCAACCTTGGATAAAACTAGAATGTCACCCCTAAATAATGGCAAGGCCAAAAAGAATCAAGACTCTGAAGAACAATTTTACAACATGGGAATTGTATGAGTTATTATGACATTGTGAAGCAAATTAACTGGGTGTCATTAGTACAGTCATTTTATAATGAGCTAAAAATCAGGTGGCAAAAGTGGCTACTGGGAAAAATTGTTATATAAATAATCTGGGAGTTTCCACCCTCTAAAATAACAAGCCCTATTTCTCTATAGGTGCATGCGTGTGTATTTTGAGAGGACATGTCTTGGATTCTTACCATATGCTAATATAAATTGATTTGAACAAGTTTTTGCCAACAGTTGACCAATTGTGGGGAATCTTTCCATGACTGTATTAGAATCCTGTAAAGGAAAATTATATCTTGGTCAGTAAAAGACATTACGAACTCAGAAAGCCTGACTGATACTACAGGTTGAGGGATCTTGAATGCTCCTTGATGATCATATTTTAGAAAAATAGGCAAAAAAAAAAAAAAAAAAGGTTAGAGAAAAATTTTAGGTAAGAAATCCAAATAGATTTTAACAAACAACCAAATATCCCACTTCACCCTTAAGCCAGGTCACCAAAACTAAGATGTATGACATAATTAGGTAAAATCAATTTTGCTACAAAATTATTTTATTTTACACATATCTAATAGTAAGGAAAGGCTACTTTATTTAAATAAAACACAGACTGCATAAGAGTAAAAAAAATAACACTAGGAATTAATAACTATATAATCCTGTTTTTTTAATTCTAGAATAATGAGCCATTTCTAACCAAACTCCAGGAAGGCTCTTTTCAAAGAAGATTTAAAAGGACAAGAACTCTGGAACTTGTAAAAAGAAATAAAAGCAGCCAAAGCATAAAGATACATATCTCTGTTTATTACTATTTTGATCACTATCTGCTAAATGATATCATACTTAATCTACAAGCTAAACCCTGAGACCAAAAAAAAAACCAAATAGAAAACAGCTTTAAAAAAATATACATGCTGTTGTACAACTGGCCCTTTTCCCACTTCTTTACTTCTCATGAAAGTTCAAAAATAAGACCCAACTGAGATAAAGTGCAGGTCAGCTGAAACGATAAGCATTTCCTGTTGTTGTGGCAATAAACTCCTCACACTTGTCTCTCAACAAGGCTATCCCTAGACTTTCTGGGACCACACTAAGGTCACGTTATATAAGTCTTATTACAGAAAACAAATGTAAAAATTAGCATTGGTTGTTCTCACAGACTATATCTTTACTTCCAATTGTGAAAGACATGTGAACTCATCAACAGAATTCATTCTTCAAATTTCCTTCTTGTTTCTTTGATTAACAGAAGAGAAGCATAACATGGGAAGACCTATATTAAGTGACAACATAGCTTTTCATTGTAAAATTTTAAAATGGGTATGAAACACATAATATGTTCATTATATGAAAATATGATATAAAAACAACTCTATTACAAAAGTAAGCACTATTAAATCAAAAGGAAAACATGAAATTTTATAAACAATAAATTATATATTGGTAAAGACATTCAAAATCTTAATATTCGCCAAAAATATCACTTAAAATATTTATTTGAAAAATCTTAGTATCTTAATTGTTAGATCTCAATATAAGAACAGATCATATCACGTCTTAGGAAAGCTCACTTGTGAACAGGGTTGAGAACAGGCAAGGATTTCAGCCAACTTTTCAAAATCTGAGGGACACAAAGGCCTTGAAAAGAATCACATTTATTTCCTGAAAACAAGTATCAAAGTCTTGTTCATTTAAAAACAATATGCTTGTACTAGGGATGTAGCTCAATGGTACCGCACTTGCCTATACATGCACAAGGCCCCAGATTCAATCTCCTGCACCATAAATATGTTAAAAAAAGAAAGAATAATTTTAAAATACATTTAAATAAAAATGAAAACAACTTTCTGGGTCACGAAGTCTCATGTGACAATACAACTAGCCAGGAAGAAAGACTTATGTCATAATAAATCAGAAAGTAGGAAACCAGCTCTTGTCTGCAGTAGTATGTCTTTCTAATAGGAATATCTTAGGTCTACAGCACAAGTATCCTGGCTTGGTGAAATCTGGTGGAGTCTCTGATGGCACAAAATAATTTCATTATTTCAGTCTACTACTGTACTTACCATCTCCTTCAAGGCTTCATACATCTGCCTCAGGAACTCCTGGAACTGAGGCAGGTACAGACAGGTGTCCTTCTGGGTTTCCAAAGTAGAAGACTGGTCCCATGCAGAAAGCTTCTGCAGCCAATACTGACAGTCAGAAGCAAGGCCTACAAAATCTTGATCCATCTTGAAAAAAGGGAAAAGGTGATGTCCTTGCACAGTAGGCTGCCAAGTACTGAAGGAAATGGGGAGCGCACATCAAATCTGTTAGAAAAGAAACCAATGAAGCATTTTAGAAAGGATCTTCCCACCCCTAAAGTCATGCCTTCATGACCCACTGAGGTTGAAGGTGGATTCCAAGGGACTAAAAGAGCCTGCCTTGGATGCTGCAGTCCTATTTGAATCATTTCTAAATGTGTCACCCAGCTATAGCTCTGGTTTTATACATGTGAGCTTTTTATCATGAATAATATCATTAGGTTAGAAGTCATTATACTTCCACAGGCACATAATAATTATGTACAAAAAGCACAACTGATAATACTTTATATCTTCTTTTTAAGATTGAGCTATTTTTAAATGTTCTGAAAATGAAGTTCCTTTAAGTACTGTATTTTAATGTAATGGGAAATCAAAAACATCCAAGGGTATTTAACAGTAGTCTGTGCCTAAGAAATGTTTTTGATGTTCTTATGTTTTATATGCATTTCTGGCCTTCTCATTTAGGTACAAAAAAAAACCCCTTTATACATTACTGTCTAATAAATTTTCTTTCCAGTTTCTCTTCATTTCTTAGAAAATGGTAAAAATATTCATTCCACATGCATCAATTTAAACTGCTTAATTAAACACTGCTTTACATACATGATCTCATTTTGTCCACAAGAGGCCATATTTTAGTAAAGTATAATAAATTCCAATTATTAAGGAGGTGTACTAGTCTTAAGTAATGGAAAATAAAATCTCTTAAGCCTGACTTCCTACCCTTAAGTCCATGTTCAACAGCACAGTGGGGATCCATAGGCGTACGTGTCTCGGGGGGGAATGGGCCAGTGGACTCCCTGGTGCCCCTCCATGCCCTGGGGAAAACAGAGGAAGCAGGGGGCCAAGAAGAGAGGCCCCCTCCTAACAGGTGCAGGCTTTCACAGATTCCTGGTTTCCCTGGGGCCGGATGACACTCCAAGACCTCATTTCAACAGACTGTACTGTGAGTGGTAAATCACTGAGATTAAATCCTCCTCAGCAGTAATAATTAACTGATAAAATGCTACTAAATACCAAAAATATTGAGAAAGAAAGTTCCCATTACTAAACAGGAAAACAAGAAATTTAAGATTGTACAATGTGGCTGTAGTGCAAAACATCTAGATTAGGAAGACACAAGTTTTAAAGTGGTTCTTAACAATTTACAGATTTGAAAAGTACTCAGTCAAATTTTTAAAAAAGGGTTAACAGTAGAGGAAATATACACATACTGTCAAAATGGCACTTATGATTGTGATCAAAATATATGGTGAATGTTTAAATTAAAAAATTATTATAGTAAAAGACACATTGCCATTTGTCTCCCTCAAAAGTATTCCCCCTCACTTCAAACACACTTATTCAATTATTCTTGCCACTTTCTGGAGCAGTTCTGGAGATTGTTTCTTATAAGTGTGATTAAAAATACAATGACAGGGCCGGGGATTTAGCTCGGTGGTTTCTCCGCCTGCTGCGCAAGCGCAAGGACCTGAGTTTGATCCCTGGTACCAAAAGAAAAAAAAAAAATACAATGACTGCTGCTGCCCTGTGCTACCCTACAGAAAAGCAGGCTTGGGTGGGGGATTTAGCTCAGTGGCACTGGGACTGCCTTGCAACCACAAGGTCCTGAGTTCGATTCCCTGGTACCAAAAAAAAAAAGAAAAGCAGGCTCATAAAAACATTACAATGTTTCCCCATCCACTGCATCTGGCACCATGTGACTTCTGCGTCTTCTCCAAAGTCAAAATAACTATGAAAGGTAAATGTTTTCAGTCAATTCAGGACACTAAGGTAACCATGATGTGGACTAAAGACACTCATAGAGAGGATTTGCAGAACTGCTTCAGAAAGCGGCAAGAATAATGGGATAAATGTGTTTCAAGCAAGTGGGAAGATTTTGAGGGGGATTAATTACAATGTATCATTTACTGTAATAAAAGTAATCTAAATATTCACCATATTTTTTATCATACCACCTACTACTCAAAAACCTAGGTATTAGCCCTGATTGTTCTATCTCTCATTGTCCTCATCCAAGCCATCATCAATACCTGTCAATTCTACTTCCAAAATAAATATAAGTGATCTGACATGATTGTATTCACTTCCTTCTGTCTCACTGCTACCACCTCACTCCATCCTTATTCCTTTCCTGGAGGGTCACATTTGTTTTCTACTAGATCCACCTGTTTTTCTCCAATTCTTTCTCTACAGAGACAAAAAAAACCCTCTTGCAAATATAAAGTTACACCCAGCAAGCTCTCCTACTTAAAACTCTTCTTCCACAGCTTAAGGAAAAAATTCAACTCCCTGGGACAAAAATCCCAGGGCCTTACTGGAGTCTCTGAGATCCCACAAACTCAGCTCTGGCACCCACCAGCCTCTCAGTTTCCTCTCCCAGCTCATCTCAGTGAGCTCAGCCTCCACTAGCTCCAGGACACACCAGACCCATCGCTGTTTCCACAACTTTCTCCGCGTTTCTTTACAGCAGTTCACAGCAGTAACTACGCTGGGCACGTATTTGTTCACTTAGTTACTCCTCCTTCTGCTGGTATGCAAATTCCCTGTCTTCCTAGAATTTAGCACATATTTGACAAAAACACAAAACAAAAACAAAAACCTGAATGTATGAATGTATGATCCTCTGACAATTTTCATAATCTAGTTTTAAGCTAAATGTTACAGCAAAATGCTTTTCCAGATAAAGCAATTTAATTCTTAAAAGGTTAATTCACCCAAAAAGAAAAAATGTGAAGTATTAAGTTACTTGATGTGAAATTTGTTAAAATTTCATTTTATAATATAGTGGCTTACACATGCATACACTATGCTCTTGACAATATGTCAAATGCTTTATATGTACTAATTAACACAAAAACTTTATGAAACGAATGCCATTATTAAGGCACAGAGCAATTGTGCAATTGCCCAGAATAAGGTTATATAAAAACCCAAAGAAATAACTGCTAGTAAGTGGCAGAGTCAAAAGTGTGGGATTTGAATCCAGCATCTGACTCTAAAACCTATGCTCTTAAAGAAACTGAAGAAACAAACTGATAGATTTCTTGTATATTTCATATTGCAATATAAAGGCAGATCACCTATTTGGGAACAGTAAATTGATAAATTTTTTACAAAAGAAATAAAAACCATTATTTTATATTATAAAAATCTGAACAATTTTTTGTTTAGCAATGGAAGTACATCTGATGGTTTTAAGTGTAGCCAGCTTTGGAGACTGGGCTATGGTCCTCAATGCTCTATTCCATAGCATGGTGGAGGGGGGCATTGGGTGGGTCTCTGCTCCTGACAGTAGCATTGTGGGTGTCACCATGAATTACTGAGAGCCAGGAATACTAAACATAAAGTGGTACTTTGGGTAAGCAGCTCATAAAGGAAAAAAAAAAAGAAAGGTCTTCCAGAAAGACCACTGGTGCCCATCTAAGAAATACTGACCTAAACAGAACATTTTGGAACAGGCATCTGCTGATTTTGTCTGGTTAACATTCTTCTCTTCTGGGTAAGACACCTTACTTTTTCTTTGGGAAAGTACCTTTCCTCCACTCCACAAGATCTTGGTGGGCCTGTTAATCAAAGTGTCTTATGCCATCAGCCAAAAGGTGGGATGATGGCTCATGTTAGGCAAATCAGACTCTGTTGGGAATTTGATCTTGTGTTAGACATATAGATGGAACTCGGTCACCCATAGGTTCTGATAATATGGATCATTGGGGCCACTCTAGTTCATGTCCTGAATAAGGTAGAATTTTTCTCTCATTACTTCACATATGTCACTCTCTTCTTACATGGTTTCCATGGAAGCTGAGTGTAACTCTTTTGTCTGCTCCTCTGTAGGTAAACTGCTTTTTCCTCTGGCTTCTTTTAGGAGGTTATCTTTGACATTCTGTAGTCTGAAAATGCTATGCCTAGGTGTAGTTTTCAATATTTATCTTGCTTGGAGTTCTTTGAGTTTCCTGGATCTGTGGTTTGGTATCTGATATTAATTTGGAAAATTTTTAGTCATTAGTATTACAAATATTTTCTTCTTCTCTTGTGTTAGGAACCATTGCTGATTGATTCAAAGCCCAGAGGCACCTGAGAACCCTGTAAGGACACGACCCCGCTGTCTAGCACATGCACACAGCAGAACACACTTATGTAAGAATGACTTAGCATAGGCAATCACTCATGTGCAACACGGTCATGTCAGGATACAATGTTGTAATGTCTGGTAATGTCTGATAATAGCTAATACAAGGGCTGAGAAATAGCTCTTGCTGCTGCTTTTATGTGAATTGTTTTGTTTTGTTTTGTTTTTTTGTACCAAGGATCGAACTCAGGACCTTGTGCTTGTGAGGCAGGCAGCAGAACCACTGAGCTAAATCCCCAGCCATCTGCTGCTTTTAAGGACATCAGCTCTGCGTACTTTTTTACCTTGGGGTCCTCACCCAAAAGAATACCCATATGCTTCCCCTTGACCCTGACAGTTTGTCTTCCCGTTACATATATGTTACATGCTTTGTAATCATATCACAGTTCTTAGATGTGCTGTTCTAATGTTGTTCTTTTGTATCCTCTGTTTTTTTTTGTTTTTGTTTTTGGTACTGGGGATCAAACTTCGGACCTTGTGCTTGTGAGGCAGGTGGCAGAATCATTGAGCTAAATCCCCAGCCCTGCATCCTCTGTTTTTTGTCTGTTTTCAACCTTTGTTTCTTTGTTCTGTTTACTTTTTCAGTTTGGGAGATTTCTCTTGAGATATTCTCAAGCTGAGAGATTTTTTCTATAGCTGTGTATTATCTACTAGTATGGCTAACAAAAGTAGTCTTCATTTCTGATCTCTAGCATTTCTGTTAGGTTCTTAGGGTTTCCATCTGTCTTACTTTTCTCTCATTGCTGAGACAAAATACCCGAAACTCAAAGTTAAAGCAGGAAAGGTTTATTTAGCTCACAGTTTGTAGAGGTTTCAGTCCATAATTGGCTGGGTTCAAGGCAGGGTAGTGTGGCAGATAGGACTTGCAGAG